GATACAAAATCAACACAGGAAAATCAGTCGTGTGCCTGTGCTCTAACAGTGAACCACCTGCAACGGAAACTAGGAGATGAAGCCCCGCTTGTTTACAGAGGTAGAGCCTTCCCTTCCTCACTTCTCCGCCCTCCCTGCATTCCGGGGGTCCTCTCCCGGTTACATCACTTGTACTCTGCTTGTCTCAGATTCTGCTCTTGGAAGAATCTAAATACAGACATTAAGGTACAGAGAGCTGAAAGACTCTCAGAGGTCAAATACATAGTATGAGACAGACAGGCAATTTGATCTGAGGCCATCTGACACCAGCTTCCACTCTCCCAAACACCGTGTTCTGTCTGTTGCCTCTCCCACGGTAGCCATGATATTCCCATGGCAGGAGACTGGAGGCTCTCCTCTCAAATCGGCTGAGCCCAGAGCAGAAAACCCCTTCTCTGGCTTCAGATGATTCGTCTCTGGTAGCTAAAGGCTGAGCAGACCCACCCCCGGAAGGCTTGGAACAGAACCAGCGTGGCTGCCCAAGCTGTCCCCCTGGCACCCGTGCCTGCTTCCCAGCCAGCAGGAAGCCAGGACTGCGAGCCAGCGCCAGGGTAACTGGGAGTCACGCAGCTAGTAAGTGTCACAGGTAGAATTCAACCTCGAGCAGTCTAGCTCCTAATCATTCCTGAATCTCTCCGTAACTTGAAGTGAGTCAGCTGCCAGCTACTGACTCAGCTCCTTCATGATTTATGTGTGAATTTCTGCCCAAACCAACTTTGATGGAGCCCCACTTGGAGGGAGGGCCGGCAGAAAAAGGTGTCCTGGACCCAGAGAAGCAGTAGGCTCCCGAAGAGGGGCCTGTGATAGCTGGAGAGGAACCGCTCGTCCCCCGCACACCTCCCTGAGCGCCTCTCTGCCTGTTGACAAGGATCAGCTGTTCAACCTCAGTGTATTTATTTATTTTCAGCCTCATTCCCAATATGATTTGAGAGCACTTAAAGGAATAGTATCCGCACAGTATCTCCACTGTTAAAGTCAGTTCAAATGCAGCTCAGGCCTGAAGCATCCCTGAGCGGGCAAAACAAGTTAGGTCTCATAAGGGACCTTAACCTTGCCTGATTTGCAGACATAAGCAGAACTGCAGCCCTTTTTTCTTTTCTTTTCTTTCTCTTTTTCTTTCTTTCCTTCCTCCCTCCTTCCTTTCTCTTTCTTTCTCTTTCTTTCTTTCTTTCTTTCTTTCTTTCTTTCTCTTTCTTTCTTTTTCCTTTCTTCCTTTCTTCTTTTCTTTTGAGACAAGGTGTCACTTTGCCACCTAGGCTGGAGTGCAGTGGCACAATCACAGCTCACTGCAGCCTCCACCTCTCTGGCTTAAGCAATTTTCCCACTTCAGCCTCCCAAGTAGCTGAGACAACAAGTGCACACCACCACAACCAGCTAATTTTTTATTTTTGTAGAGACGAGGTCCTGCTATGTTGCCCAAGCTGGTCTCCAACTCCTGGGCTCAAGTGATCCTCCCACTTCAGCCTCCCAAAGTGCTCGGATTACAGGGGTGAGCCACCATGCCTGCCCTTGAGCTGTTTCTTGTAAATGCCTATGTTAAAGAAAAATAGAACTTAAGTGCAACTAAGGAGAAGCAGCCAGCATAAATAATTATATAGCCAGGGACTTTCCAATGAAACAGACCAAGTAAAGCAACTGTATACCTGTAACCAATCAGATGTTATCTTTGCTTTACTTCTGTGTCTGACTTATAAAAACCTCCCACTTGTGTTTCCTCGGTAGAGCTCCCAAGCCACTTCTGGTTTGGGACTGCCTGATTCAAACATTATGTGCACAAATAAACCCTTAAAAAATGTATGTGCTGGCCGGGCGCGGTGGCTCAAGCCTGTAATCCCAGCACTTTGGGAGGCCGAGGCGGGTGGATCACGAGGTCAAGAGATCGAGACCATCCTGGTCAACACGGTGAAACCCCATCTCTACTAAAGCTACAAAAAATTAGCTGGGTATGGTGGCGCATGCCTGTAATCCCAGCTACTCAGGAGGCTGAGAATTGCCTGAACCCAGGAGGCGGAGGTTGCGGTGAGCCGAGATCGCGCCATTGCACTCCAGCCTGGGTAACAAGAGCGAAACTCCGTCTCAAAAAAAAAAAAAAAAATGTATGTGCCTCAGTTTAACCTTTTAATACCACTAAAGATACCCCAGTAAATAATGCCTAGTTTCCTACCTCAACAGCCTCATAATTGATACCACGATGATGTGATAGCATTAGATTGTTACTCATAGAGTGACTAGCTTGTCCTGGGGTTTTGTTAGGATTTTTCCAGTTTTAAAACTGAAAGTACCTTGTCTTGTAAAACTCCTCAGAGACAGACAACAAAAAGTTGGACACCCTTATTACACAGCATTTGGGACACAAAGTCTACCTGATAGATTAAAAATTTAGCTCTGAGTTTCCTAGCAGCAAAGGCAAAGAGAAACAACATACATTATAAAAAACTGTTTATTCTTATTGACAATTCTCTTTCCAGAAAAAATTTCTTTTCTTATTTATTTTAAGATCTATACCAGCACTATCTGGCAGAACTTTCTGCAATAATGGAAACATGGTGCACTATTCGATATGACAGTTTCAGCCGGGGCGCGGTGGTCATGCTTGTAATCCCCGCACTTTAGGAGGCCAAGGTGGGCAGATTACTTGGGGTCAGGAGTTCAAGACCAGCCTGGCAAACATGGTGAAACCCCATTTCTACTAAAAATACCAAAATTAGCCGGGTGTGGTGGTGCATGCCTGTAATTCTAGCTAGTCAGGATGCTGAGGCAGGAGAATCGCTTGAACCCAGCAGGCAGAGGTTGCAGTGAGCCGAGATCGTGCCACGGAACTCCAGCCTGAGCAACAGAGTGAGACGCTATTTCAAAAAACAAACAAACAAACAAAATCCTTATAACAGTTGCTAGCCACTTGTCTCTATGGAGGACTTAAAATATGGCTAGTGTAGTGAAATAGATGAATTTTTATTTTATTTCATTTTAATGTACTTAAGTTTAAATAGCCTTATTTGGCTAGTGGCTACTGTATTGGACAGCACAGCTGTTCTAGACAAAAGAAACCAGGTGCTCAGGAAGAGCCTCTTCTTAATATTGAGGCCTGAAGAATTTCTCCCATGAGTTATCACAGACGGTGAATACAAGAGTGAGTTCCACCTACGGGCTTTTCTTTTTTTATAGTATATACAGCATAATAGCAGGCCCTTCTAAAGCGCAGGCTATGTGCTCACTGCTCTCAGGCACTCTTTTCTTTTTTCTTTCTTTCTTTTCTTTCTTTTTTTTTTTTTTTTTTTTGTGGGACAGAGTCTTGCTCTGTGCCCCAGGCTGGAGTGCAGTGGTGTGATCTCAGCTTACTGCATCTTCTGCCTCCCAGGTTCAATTCTCCTGCCTTAGCCTCCCAAGTAGCTGGAATCACAGGCATGTGCCACTATGCCCAACTAATTTTTTACATTTTTAGTAGAGACAAGGTTTCACCATGTTGGCCAAGCTGGTCTCGAACTCCTGACCTAAAATGATCCACCCACCTCAGCCTTCCAAAGTACTTGGATTACAGGCGTGAGCCACCATGCCTGGCAGGAGGCACTCTTTTCATATAATAGTTCCTTCAATTCTCAAAACCATCCTAGGAAGTAGGAACTTTCAGTATCCACAGGGAGAAAGCTCCTCCCAGGAGAAATCCTGCAAAACCTAAGGCTGCTCCTTCCCCCAAAGACAGGTACATCTGTCTCCCTGCCCTTCCCAGGGAGAGTCAGGAGCCTGGGGGAGAGGCAGAGGGCTAGAAAAGATCAGGGAAGAGACAAGAGGGAGGGAGACCAGGAAGAAATGGTTCCCAGATGTCCTCACCCCATCCCAGCTGATGCTGCAGGACTGACACTGACTCCATGGAAAAAGTGAGTAATGTCTGGCACCACCCCCTGGCACCAGAGGGCATTTGGGGAGTCAGAAGGAAGACCTCATGTGTCAGGCCACAGAATGCACCTGCACACCCTCAGAAATGGAGCCTGGGCCGGCCCACCTAGGACAAAACACCTTTTTCGGGGTTTCTGTGGATGGTCCCCTGACATCTTTCACCACACTGGTCTGACTGCCAGGATCTGAGCCTGCTCGGCCCTCGGGCCCTGGTAGATGAAGGAGGAGGCAGGTGTGACCCCCCCACCACCACTCCGTCTGTGACTGGGAAGCTGATGACTCCAGGTCAGAAATAACCCCACGGTCAGCTCCCTGCATGCCACCCTTCCCCTCCCCTCCATTCCCAGAAAGCCTGGGCCCTGAGTCAGAGGGAAGAGTCCAGAAGAGAGCAAAGGCTCAGATAATCTGGGGTGAAAACCACAGGCTTGCTGTGGAATTCATTGACAAATCAGGTGCCTAGTGAAGAGCTGAGCCTGGTCACTCAGATGTCTTTCCCCAAATCCAGCTTAATCAGGACTGCTGACCTGTGCTGTGGGGCACCGGGAGGAGTGGGTAAGACAGGGGGAACTCTTTAGTGCAGAAGGGAATGGGGAAGAAGGCGAGCCGGGCCTCACTCTCAGAGGTAGCTAGGCTCAGAGCAGGAGGAGGGGCCCAGCCTGCCCTCAGGGGACCTCTAGTTTCCTGGCACGGTGGGTGGAGACACATCAGGAAGAGTCAGAGGCAGGACCAGAGTAGAGTGACGGGGACTGACATGATGGGAGCAAGCTGTCCAAGGTGTCAGATGCCCTTTCTTATTCACTCTCTCAAAATAGTCTGGGACACCCCCAACCCCACAACCCAACTGAGTCACTGACCCCAAGCCCCAGATCAGACGTTGGATGAATGAAGTTTCTTCCCCACTGTTTCCCCTCCCCAGCCCAAAGGACATGTAACTGATTCCCCCAGATGGAAGAGTGACTTCCACAAGCCCTAAAAATAACCAAACCACTTAATGCTCTCAACATAGCCTCTCCCGCCCCCCTCCCCCACCACGGCCCACCCCCTAGCCAGCAAGATAAAGGCAGCTGCTGGGGCTGGCAGGGGACAGAGACCTGGAGCCTGCGAGGCGAGAAGGTGTCTGCAGAGCCAGCAGAACAGAACCACACCGAACAGAACCTCGAGAGGAACGACAAACCCTGAGACCACACCTGTTACAGACCCCAAGCACCCTGTCAGCTAAGAGAGACCCTCGGTGAGTAACCTGCCTCTCTGTCCTTCCATGGCAAGGCTGGCTTTCACAGCTGGGGTCCCCTCTCCTGGAATGGATGTATTGGGGTGGCTCTGAGTGGGGGAGGAGACTGAGGGCATGCATGGGAGGAGGGGAGTGGAAGTCTCAGATATAAAGAACCCACAAAGGAGGTAAAGACACAGTGAGCCCCATGGGAGCTCTCAGAGTGGCTTCCACAGGCCTGAAGCCAGCAGAAAGGACAGGCTCCTGACACGACCCAGAAAGGCCTGGAGTTGTGATTTTTAAAATGCAGGTGTGGAGTGCCTCGGGCTTCAGGGCTTCCTTCCAGGGAAGCCTCAGGTAGGCCCAGGGTCTGGAGGAAGGAGGAATAGAAGTGAGGCGGGGGCAGGGGACCGCAGCTAGGCCTGGGTGAGCATTGCCAGAACACCCCCATGCCCAGTTGTTGTGGGTGACACTCTTGGCATATCTAGCCCAGCAATAGCTCCCAGGGGCTGGCCTGAGCCCAGCTCCCTGCACGTCACAGCCTAAAACCTGGGGTGGAATTCCGACTCTGCCCATGTCCATGGTCTTGCCCAGTGGGAAAGCCCTCAGGGCAGATCTGGGGGACTCAGGGCAGGGAGAACAGACCTGAATTTGCCCTGATGTAAAGACAAATGGAGCCAGCTGGGCCGAGGAGGAGGTGACCTGAGGACAGCAGGGGGACCATCCTGAGAGGCTGGCCCAGCCCTAGGAGACCAAGCTCTAGGAGAGTCCTTGGGGCTTACCCCACCCTAAGTCTGGTCCCAGTTATGAATTCTGTCCCAACTCTACACTTGCCCCAGGAGTCTCAGGCCAGGCAAGGATGGTGGTAGGAAGGCCAGGGGACAGGAGGCTTGCTTCAGGCTTTGCTGCCACCTTGCTGAGCCTCTTTGGACAGTTCCTTTCCCCCCTTTGGGCCTCTGTTTCTCTGTTTGAACAATAAGGGGTTTACATTGAGTGACCTCTGAGGGTCCTTAGGCCTGACATCCCTGGACTCCATGATAAAAGCTGTCTGTGGCCCCAGCAGAGATTCTGGAAATTCCTGGGGGCGGGGCTGGGGCGAAGCTGACGGCCTGCACCTGCCATCTGCCCAGGCCACCCTGGTGGAGACAGGATGGCGTGGAGGTGGCGACAGGCACAGGTGTGCCTTGGGCAGGGGAGCCTCTCCGGAGCTCGGAAAGGAAAGAAATCCCCCAGAGCTCTGATGAGACTCAGGCTGCAGGTTTCAGAGCTCTCACTCCCCAAAGGTTCTGATGTCTCTGGCGGACTTGCCAGGGTGGGGGTGGGGTAAGCAGGACCCCGTTCCCTCCCTCCTTCAGAGGTTGTCATAGGGAGGAAGTCCCGCTCCACTTGCTGCCAGCATCCCCACACCTCTCCCGGCGTGGACTCCTTTGCACAGGGAAGGTGTCCAGCTTCCAGCACCTGGTTGGCCTGCAGCCCAGGGGCCTGACACCAGCTCAGGAGGCAGGATCAGGGAGCCCAGGGTAATGAAGGAGACGAGGTGAGCCAATGGCCCCGAGGGTCCCCGCTGACTGGGCCTCAGCCACCCTCTGAACCCAGGGCTGCTGTTCTGAGGACAAGACCTCAGCTATATTTAGCACCTTCTGTGGTGCAGAGCAGTGGGTCAGGGGCAGCGGGAGGGGGCACGTGCTTCCCATTCTTTCCCTGCTGACCTCTGATAGCTGTTAGTACACCTGTCACAAGACAGATAAGACAAACATCGACAGAGAGCAGAGAAGTCCTTGAGGGGTGGGAGGCCATTGAGAGGCGGGGGTGGAGCAGGGGAGAGGCTGAGCTGGGGTGGCCGTGAGGCCTGCAGGGGTAGGGCTTGGCCTGAAGCCCCCCCGAGTCCGAGCCCCTGAAGCTGTGCTTGCTTGCTTAGGGAGAGGTCTCCAGGGCCGGGCACGATGGCTCACACTTGTAATCCCAGCACTTTGGGAGGCCAAGGCCAGTAGATCACGAGGCCAGGAGTTCGTGACCAGCCTGTCCAATATGGTGAAACCCCATTTCTACTAAAAATGCAAAAATTAGCCAGGTGTGGTGGCGCACACCTGCAGGCCCAGCTACTTGGGAGACTGAGGCAAGAGAATCGCTTGAACCCAGGAGGCGGAGGTTGCAGTGAGCCAAGATAGTGCCACTGCACTCCAGCCTGGCGATAGTGTGAGAATTTGTCTCAAACAAAAGAGGAAAAAGAGGTCTCCAAGGTCTCCAGGAGCAAGGGGCAGGGCTGTCTCTGCAGAAAGGACCCTTGTCCCACGGTCCTCTCCCTGGTAGGTGTCACCGTCATATCCTCCCAGGCTGCCTGCTGGGGAATAGAGGGTCCTATGGCCAAAAAGAAAGCTTTACAGCCCCGACCCTCTTATTTCTTGGGGCCAGGCCCTAAATGGGGCTCAGGGACCCCAAGCCAGCACGGCCTTCCACTTATTCACAAAGATCTGACTCTGGGCCTAAGCTCCCGCATCTTAATTTACAAATGGTTGTGCTAAAAGACCTTTGCGGTCCCCCTAGCTCAGGTATTCTCAGTCTTGAGTATAGTGCAGAAAACCCTGACCAGAGATTCAGAATTTGGGGCTGGCCTAACCACGAGATACCTGATGCGAGCTTCCCAGCCCTGATCCTCAGCTGCTTCCGCTCCAGCATGGGCTGCTGGCCTCTGTCTGCCTCCCTGGGCCTGGGAAAGGTTGGAGTGAGTTGACAGCCAAGAGGTAAAAGTTAGGCAGGGCTCCAGGTCAACACGGCAAGTCTGCCCTCTGGTGTTCTGCAAGGGAATCTCGCCTCCAGTTTAGAGACCCGCCCCTCCAAGGCTGGGACTCCAAAAATCAGGATTCCCCCACCCCCTGCCACTCCTCTGAAAGTCTTCTCGGGAAACACCGATTTTTAACAAAGGCAGGCGAGGATGGGGCATGCCCAGTTTGCCCTCTGGGTTTGGGCATCCCTTGTGGAGCTAAAGGAAAGTGTCTCATGGCCGGTGGTACCATGGTCGCTCCCTAGCAACCCAGGAGATGCAGGGAAGCAGGAACCCACTGTGATGGATGGGTCCACATGTCCTTAGTTCAAGACCTGTCGCACACCAAACATGCCGGCAGCAGAGTGAAGCCCAGGCCAGGCACATAGAGAGAGGGAAGGAGTCTCTAAGCATAAGTCGCCCAGAGCTACTCTGACCCTGAGCCCTGTTTCCTGCCATTTCTCCCAGTATCCAGCCTCTACCCTGCTGATCATCTAGACCTAAGCCCCCAATCCCACCCTCACCTCTTCCCCTTCTTCTCAGAAAGATGGCCGACACCCAGACGCAGGTGGCCCCCACATCAACCATGAGGATGGCAGCTGCAGAGGACCCACCCCTCCCTCCACCCCCAGCCCTGGAGGACCTGCCACTGCCGCCACCCAAGGAGTCTTTCTCCAAGTTCCACCAGCAGCGGCAAGCTAGTGAGCTCCGCCGCCTCTACAGGCACATCCACCCCGAGCTCCGCAAGAATCTGGCTGAGGCTGTGGCCGAGGATCTGGCTGAGGTCCTAGGCTCTGAGGAACCCACCGAGGGTGACGTTCAGTGCATGCGCTGGATCTTTGAGAACTGGCGACTGGATGCCATTGGAGATCACGAAAGGCCAGCTGCCAAGGAGCCCGTGCCGGGTGGTGACGTCCAGGCCACCTCCCGCAAGTTTGAAGAAGGCTCCTTTGCCAACAGCACAGACCAAGAGCCAGCCAGGCCCCAGCCGGGTGGAGGGGACGTCCGTGCAGCCCGATGGCTATTTGAGACAAAGCCACTGGATGAGCTGACAGGGCGGGCCAAGGAACTGGAGGCTACTGTGAGGGAGCCCGCAGCCAGCGGAGACGTGCAGGGTACCAGGATGCTGTTTGAGACGCGGCCGCTGGACTGCCTGGGCTCCCGCACCTCCCTGCAGGAGCAGAGCCCATTGGAACTGCGCTCAGAGATCCAAGAGCTGAAGGGTGATGTGAAAAAGACAGTGAAGCTGTTCCAAGCGGAGCCCCTGTGTGCCATCCAGGACTCAGAGGGTGCCATCCACGAGGTCAAGGCCGCATGCCGGGAGGAGATCCAAAGCAACGCGGTGAGGTCTGCCCGCTGGCTCTTTGAGACTCGGCCTCTAGATGCCTTCAACCAGGATCCCAGCCAGGTGCGGGTGATCCGGGGCATTTCCCTGGAGGAGGGGGACCGGCCCGACGTCAGCGCAACTCGCTGGATCTTTGAGACGCAGCCCCTGGATGCCATCCGGGAGATCTTGGTAGATGAGAAAGACTTCCAGCCATCCCCAGACCTCATCCCACCTGGTCCGGATGTTCAGCAGCAGAGGCATCTCTTTGAGACCCGAGCGCTGGACACTCTGAAGGGGGACGAGGAGGCTGGAGCAGAGGCCCCACCCAAGGAGGAAGTGGTCCCTGGTGATGTCCGCTCCACTCTGTGGTTATTTGAGACAAAGCCCCTGGATGCTTTCAGAGACAAGGTCCAAGTGGGTCACCTACAGCGGGTGGATCCCCAGGATGGTGAGGGGCACCTATCCAGTGACAGCTCCTCCGCACTGCTGGGCTCTCAGGGTGCCCCACAGAGGGATGGGCTAAAGGGGGATGTGAAGACTTTTAAGAACCTTTTTGAGACCCTTCCCTTGGACAGCATTGGACAGGGTGAGGCTCTGGCCCATGGGTGTCCGAGCAGAGAAGAAGGAACTGATTCAGCTGGGCAGGTCCAGGGCGTAGGGGCCCCCGTGTATGCCATGCAGGACAGCAAGGGCCGCCTCCACGCCCTGACTTCTGTTAGCAGAGAGCAGATAGTCGGAGGTGACGTGCAGGGCTATAGGTGGATGTTTGAGACACAGCCCCTGGACCAGCTCGGCCGAAGCCCCAGTACCATTGACGTGGTGCGGGGTGTCACCCGGCAGGAGGTGGTGGCTGGGGATGTTGGCACTGCTCGGTGGCTCTTTGAGACCCAGCCCCTGGAGATGATCCACCAGAAGGAGCAGCAGAAACGAAAGGAAGAAGAAGGGAAGAGTCAGGGAGACCCCCAGCCCGAGGCGCCCCCAAAGGGCGATGTGCAGACCATCCGGTGGTTGTTCGAGACGTGCCCAATGAGTGAGCTGGCCGAAAAGCAGGGCTCAGAGGTCACAGGTCCCACAGCTAAGGCTGAGGCACAGTCCTGCACCTGGATGTTCAATCCCCAAGCCTCGGACAGGCCAGCGGGGTCCAGGGAGCAGCACCTGCAGGTCAGCCAAGTCCCGGCTGGGGAGAGACAGACAGACAGACATGTCTTTGAGACCGAGCCTCTTCAGGCCCCAGGCGGTCCCTGTGGAAGAGGGCCTGTGAGATACTGCAGCCGCGTGGAGATTCCTTCAGGGCAGGTGTCTCGTCGGAAGGAGATTTTCCAGGCCCTGGAGGCAGGCAGGAAGGAAGAAGACCAGCCCCGGGTAATCGCCAGGCCCATACCCGCAGGTTCTGTCCACAAGTTCACCTGGCTTTTTGAGAATTGCCCCATGGGCTCCCTGGCAGCTGAGAGCATCCGAGGGGGCAACCTCCAGGAAGAGCAGCCCATGAGCCCTGCAGAGAACGGGATGGGAGAGAGCCAGGAGACTGCAGCTGAGGGGACCCTGCGGACTCTGCACGCTACCCCTGGCATCCTGCATCACGGAGGCATCCTCATGGAGGCCCGAGGGCCAGGGGAGCTCTGCCTTGCCAAGTATGTGCTCTCAGGCACAGGGCAGGGATGCCCCCATATACGCAAGGAGGAGCTGGTGTCGGGCGAACTTCCCAGGATCATCCGCCAAGTCCTGCGCCGGCCAGATGTGGACCGGCAGGGGCTGCTGGTACAGGAAGACCCAACTGGCCAGCTCCAACTCAAGCCGCTGAGGCTGCCAACTCCAGGCAGCAGTGGGGGTACTGAAGACATGGACCCCGAGCTCCAGCAGCTGCTGGCTTGCAGTCTCGGGGCCTCCGTGGCAAGGACTGGGCTGGTGATGCAGGAGACGGAGCAGGGCCTGGTCGCACTGACTGCCTACTCTCTGCAGCCCCGGCTGACTAGCAAGGCCTCTGAGAGGAGCAGCGTGCAGCTGTTGGCCAGCTGCATAGACAAAGGAGACCTGAGTGGTCTGCACAGTCTGCGGTGGGAGCCACCGGCCGACCTGAGTCCAGAGGCAGCCAGCGAGAGGGCCCAGAGCCTGCCCCCAACTGAGAGCATCATCCATGTTTCCCCACTGGACCCCAGCATGGGGATGGGGCATCTGAGAGGCCCAGGGGCCACCCCTTGCCCTCCTCGGGCCATTGGAAAGGCAGTCCCTGTGGCTGTGGAAGCTGCAGCACCAGCCCGATTGCAAAACACAGAAAAGCAGGGAGACAGTCACAATGGACAGAAAGAGATGGCAGTCTTGGGAAAGTCAGAAGGAGCCACGACTACCCCTCCAGGGCCTGGGGCTCCAGACCTGCAGGCCGCCATGCAGAGCCTTCGGGTGGCAGCAGCTGAAGCCCAGAGCCTGCAGGAGCAAGTTCTGAACAAGCACAAGCAGGGCCCCGCCCCCGCAGCCACTGCCGAGCCCATCCAGGCCGGTCTTCGGAAAGCTGGGGCTACCCAAAGCAACATCAGGCCTGGGGGTGGAAGTGATCCCCGGATCCCAGCAGCCCCCAGAAAGGTCAGTGGGGAAGAGCAAGCACTACCCAGAGGGCCACCTGGGGGGTGGGTGACAATTCAGGACGGCATCTACACCGCTCATCCCGCGAGGACCTTTGACCCGCCTGGGGGTGTCCAGCCTTCTGACAGGAAACCCCAGTCAAGGCGCAGGGAAACCACCCTCTCGGTCCAGGCTGCCGGCCCCCTCCAGGGAGGCCCAGCTCAGAGTACTGGGCCAGGGCGGGAGGCGCCTGGGGGCCGCACACAGATGGCCTGGGGGCCTCCAGGGAAGGTGATGGCAGAAGTCTGCCCAGGGGGCCTCCAAGCTGCAGAGACCACCCTGAAGACTGCCCCTCTAGGCTGCCACATTCTGGCCTCTGGGCCCCAAGCGCCAGGTGCCAGCCCGCAACCCCATAATGCCTTTGTTCCTCCTCCTCCTACTCTCCCAGCTGCTGTGACAGGACCTGACTTTCCAGCCAGAGCCCGCTGTGACGAGGACTCCATCCAGCAGGTCTCCGAGCCCCTGAAGGATCCCCTTCTTCAGTCCCACAGCAGCTCTGCTGGCCAGAGAGCCCCTGGAGGGTTACAGACAAAGACCTCAAAACTGGAGCCTACCACGTCCCCAAAGGAGAAGCCGCAGCTGCCCCCTAAACCGGCACACCTAACCCAGAGTCACCCTCCTCGGAGGCTGCCCAAGCCCTTGCCTCTATCTCCCAGCTTTTCCTCAGAGGGGGGGCAAAGAGAGCAGCGACAAGGTGAGACAGATGCCGCCGTCCCTCAGCCAGTCAATGTTCCCACCACTGTGGGCCAGGGCCACAGATCTCTGGCCGACTGCCCTGACGGACACAGCCACCCCAGCCCCCAACATAGCCTCAGCACCACGGCCCCCAGGCACGCCCAGAATCAGAGTTCTGAGCCCCCCAAGCTCAATGCTGTCAACTGTGATCCCACCTCACCACAGGGGGGCCCCGGCTCCTCAGGAAGGCAGCCCGTGGAAGGGGCCCCCAAGAGCCCTGCGAGCCTGCAAAGAAACCAGAACGAGCTCCAGGGCCTCCTGAACCAGGTGCAAGCCCTGGAGAAGGAGGCTGCCAGCAGTGTGGACGTGCAGGCCCTGCGGAGGCTCTTTGAGGCAGTGCCCCAGCTGGAAGGGGCTGCCCTTCAGGCCCCCGCTGCCCACCAAAAGCCCAAGGCCTCCATGGAGCAGGCCTTTGGGGAGCTGACACGGGTCAGCACGGAAGTTGCTCGGCTGAAGGAACAGACCCTGGCCAGGCTGCTGGACATTGAACAAGCTGTGCACAAGGCGCTCAGCTCCATGTCCAGCCTCCAGCCTGAGGCCAGCGCCAGAGGCCATTTCCAGGGACCTCCAAAAGACCACAGTGCCCGCAAGATCAGTGTCACAGTCAGCAGTAGCGCCAGGCCCAGTGGCTCCAGCCAGGAGGTCGGGGGTCAAACTGCAGTCAAGATCCAAGCCAAGGCTGGATGCCACCCGGAGGCCCAGCAGGAAGTCAGGATGAGAAATCACACGGAGGTCGGAGGTCACGCAGCCTCAACAGCACCTCCCACCGGGAGGCAGGAGACATCAAGAGAAGATGCATGCCTCCCTCGGGTCTTGCCTCCCAGCCAAGATTCACCCTCCTCCCCAACATTTATCTCCATCCAGTCGGCCACGAGGAAGCCTCCAGAGACTCCCAGCTTCAAGGGCAACCCTGACGTCTCGGTGAAAAGCACAGGACTAGCTCAGGACACAGGCCAGGCCCTGCTCCAGCAGAAAGGTATCCAAGACAAGGCTGGAAAGAAGGACGTCACCCAGTGTTCTGCACCGCCTAAGCCTGCCCCTCCCTCAGCCAGTCCCCTGACCACAGGGCGGCAAAAGAGTGTTCTGGAGCTGCAGACGGGGCCAGGGAGCTCGCAGCACTATGGAGCCATGAGAACCGTGACTGAGCAGTACGAGGAGGTGGACCAGTTCGGGAACACAGTCCTCATGTCTTCCAGCACAGTCACCGAGCGGGCAGAGCCACCCAGGAGCCCAGGTCTCCGCCTCGGGCTCCACGCCTCCCCCTTGCTGAGGCAATTCCTGCACAGCCCAGCTGGGTTCAGCAGTGACCTGGCAGAAGCTGAGCTGGTGCAGGTGTCCTGCAGCCCCCAGACAGCTGCCCAGTGAGGCCATCCCTCCCACCACACCTGCCACCTGTTCTGGCCTCCACTGCCCCAGGACTGAGGTGGGTGCCTACCTCCTGCACCCTGGCACAAGGACCAAGAGGAAAGGGCATCTTCAGGGGATTACTGGGGCCATCTCCCTTTCATCAGTTCTTTCAATAGGCCAAGTTCTTCCAATGGGAAAAGAAAGGTCTGGAAGCAGCCCACAGAGTAGCACAGGCATGGGGGTGGGGTGGGGGCCCCCAGCTGCTTGTGGAGGATGTAATGTACACACACACACATGTTTCTCACACAGACCTGGCCCACGCATGGACATGTATGAATCTGCACGCCACTGCCTGAGGTGGAGCCCCCCCAGAGTGTCCCTCTACCCAGAGTTTTTATTTCTTTTATTAGTCTGAATGTTCCCAGCCATCTGCTCCATAATCCCCGGAGAGGAACAGAGCCAACTGGACACAGCGTCACTCTCTGTTTGCAATCACTGTGAGGTCTCCAGAAGGGCCTGGCCGCCAGCCCCTTCGTCACCATCTCCATCATTCAGCTGGTCATCTGGTGGCCCAAAGGTCACATGAAGAGTCAGCAATCACCATGTCCCCAGAAGCCAAATGCACTGCCTTTCTCTGTCCCAACAACTGCCCCCCACTGCACCCCAAACAGGAAGCGTATGGTCTGAATAAACCCAAGTTTTATTCTCTACTCTGTGCCTGTCTGACTGTGTGTGCATCTGTTCCAGTCTGTGTTCCCACTGCAGGGGAGAGAGCAGCCACAACCTCCAGGTGCCTCCTCTTCCTAGCAACGGCAGCGTGGGAAGGCTCTAAAGGCCACCCCTTCTCCACCATCGTGGCTGGCAACCAGAAATGCCCTGCCCACTCTCCTATTCTCCTTACCCCCCTCCCCATCACGTGTGCCTGCACACACACACACACACACACACACACACACACGACACACACACACCGCTGCCCTCTCTACCTCAGCCTCCCTTCCTGAATGTTCTTGAACACCATCCTGGAGGGGTTCTTAGAAGCCTGCCCCAGAGCTGGAGAGCAGCCCAGTCAGGCCTGGGAAGCGGGAGGAACTCATGCCAGGAGAATTCCTGTGCCCACCATGGCTGGGCCACTTCTGCCTATTCAGCCCAGGTGCTGTGTGCCAAGCAGGGGCTCCTGGGAAGGCAAGGGCTCAGATCCCGGCCTGGAAAGTCAGGATGATCTGGTGAAGGGCCCATTTCACGCTGTCTTTCAAAAAGCACTAGGCATCTTCTGTATTTCAGACCTGTTCTAGGCAGTGGGGACACAGGTGCGGTCCAAGGGGTCCCATTTTCAGGGAACTTTTTAAATGAGGAGGAAGACAATAAATGAGAAAAATTAGATCAGGAGTAGGGTGATGCACCTGGCTAGGCCGCTCTCGCACTCTGGGATAAGTTACATGACATTATGTCATGTAACAATGGCAGGTGATTGCTTTAGGTGGAGTGGCCAAGCCAGGCCTCTCTAAGGAAAAAACACCTCAGTGGAGATCTAAATGACAAAGAACAACTATGTGAAAATCTGGGGAGGAAGCGCCAGGTGGAGGGACAGCACTTGCGAAGACCCGGAGGTGGAATACTTTTTGTTCCTGGGTTTCCTGGGTGCACAGGCATTTGACACTGGGTTTGCCTCCCACCAAGTTCATGTGTCACCCGCACTTTGCTTCAGTGGAAGAGACAGGTGCCTATCCTACCCCTAGCCCACAGCCCTCACAGGCCCCTCATTTCCTGCTCAGCCAAGATGGGTGGGGCTCCCCTGGGACAATATGGCTCGGATCTGGAAGGAGTCTGCACCTTGTGGGAGACTGTGCTGTCTCGAGAATAATCAAGGTCCCAAATCCGCCTGGTTGGGCCTGGTACACCATGTTGTTGAGCCCCTCCCCGCATGTCCCCCTCCCCTGCCTTCTGCGGGATCTCACTTGATTCCAGGGCCCAGCAGCCTACAGAGCATGACTGTTCTCCCCAGCATTCTCATCTGTAAAGTGGGCACAGTTATAGTACCTGCTGCTGTGAAGATTAAGTGAATTAACCCATTTATGCCTGAAGTTGCAATTTTGAATTTCTGCAATCAGACCTTGGCAATGATCTTGAGCAGTAGGATAAAATAACTTCCACATGCTTAACGTTCCAATAATGGAACACCAGGCAGTGTAAAAAGTGCTTGAAGCTATACCTGGCATCTGAAACTCAAAGACATTCACTTTTCATATTATTGTAATTTTTAAAAATATATCTTCTTTCTTTTTTTTTTTTTTGAGACGGAGTTTCACTCATGTTACCCAGGCTGGAGTGCAATGGCGCGATCTCGGCTCACCGCAACCTCCGCCTCCTGGGTTCAGGCAATTCTCCTGCCTCAGCCTCCTGAGTAGCTGGGATTACAGGCACGCACCACCATGCCCAGCTAATTTTTTGTATTTTTAGTAGAGACGGGGTTTCACCATGTTGACCAGGATGGTCTCGATCTCTTGACCTCGTGATCCACCCGCCTCGGCCTCCCAAAGTGCTGGGATTACAGGCGTGAGCCACCGCGCCCGGCTTATATCTTCTTTCTTAACTCCAAGGGGGGCTTCCTGTCTTGTTCATCTTGGTACCTCTTTACCACAAGTGCCTAGAAGGCACTCCATAAATGTCAAATAAATGAATGAAACCATTGAGTAAACCTGATGATTCATCCAAGTAACTTTATTGAGCACCTCATTCATGCCGGGTTCTGTTCAGGGTGCTGAGAACAGAGATGAACAAGGCAAAATGTGTGTCTGAGCTTATGGAACTTCGGTTTAAAGAGGAAGATAATATAGGTAGAATCAGATAAGATAATTTTGGAGGGGAGAGATAAAGAAGTCCAGGTGGGAAAGGGCAGTTCCTTCAGCTTGGGTGGTCATGGAAGGCGTCTCAGCGGAGGTGACCCGAATGGTTGGAGGCGGGCGGCCTAGGGGGAAGCGCGGGGAGGTGGCTGCGCGGCTGGTGGCGCCGGCTGGGCGTGCGCGGGGAAGAGCGGCGGCTCCCCGCCGAGGCCCCTCCCGGAGCGCTGCGCACCTGCGGCCCCGCGTGCGGCCGAAGAGGGGCGGGGCGGGCGGGGCTGGGGGCGGAGCGCGTGCCTCGTTGGAGGGGCGGGCGGGGCTGCGGGCGGAGCACGTGCCGCGGAGGAGGGGCAGAGCGAGCGGGGAGGGCGCGGCTGCGGGCGGAGCGCGTGCCGCGGAGGAGGGGCGGGGCGGGCGGGGCTGGGGGCGGAGCGCGTGCCGCGGAGGAGGGGCGGGCGGGGCTGGGGGCGGAGCGCGTGCCGCGGGGGAGGGGCGGGCGGTGTTGGGGGCGGAGCGCGCGGCGCCCGGACCCCGCCCCGGAGCCGGCAGGGCGCGTTGCCACGGCCGTCGCCAAGGTGACGCTGAGGGCGCGGAGGCCGCAGAGTTCAGAACGTCCAGGCGGCGGCGGCCGTTGCTGGGAGACGCCCAGGGACTGGCTCCGCACTGCAGACGCCGGACGCCAGGACGCGTCGTCCGGGCCAGCCCTCCCGCGGAGGCTCCCCCAGGATTCCAGACGGATGCCGGGTTCCCGTGCTCACCCACGTCCAGATTCCGCCGGGACCCGCGGGGCTGGGCCTCCTCCCTCCCTAGCACTCTCTGTCATGGCCTCCGTGTCTGGATTTGTCCCCAGTCCCCATCTTCACCGCCATCACCACGTCTCAGGCCACCGTCCGCCCTCCCTTCGCTGGGGCTGAGGCCCTGCCATCGCCTCCCCAGGGGTCCTCCTCCCTTTCCCTGTCTGTCCTCACACTCTGCCCTCCACCAGGCAGCCGCAACTCTTGTTAGGAGTTTACCAGGTCAAGTCACTCCTGCATGATACCCTCCACCGGCTCCCCAGCTCAGGCTTCAATACAAACTCCTCTCCGTGGCCTGTAAGACCAGAAGGACTTGCTCTCTGCCTTCCTCTCCAGCTTCGTTGGCCCCACTCTCCTCCTCATCCACATACCCTAGTCACACTGTCTTTCTTGCTTTCTGAGAGCATACCAAGCCGATTCCTGCCTCCGGAACTTTGTCCTTGCTGAACCTCTGGAGGAAAGTCCCAGATGGTTAGTGATTGAGGTTCTCACTCAGGTCTCAGTTCCAGTGTCTCTCCAGAAAGGCCTTTCTTGATCAATCCACCCCACTTCGCCCTATCTACAGAGGCCCTTCTCTACGTTTTCCTGCTGTTTTATGTTTTTCCATATTTCCCTCTCACAATATGAAATTGTCTTGCTCACTTATTCGCTTGTTTCTTGGTGTTCTAGATATTATTTCTGCATAGCAAACCATCCTAAACAGCGGTTTGAAAAAAAACAACCATGTGGGTCAGGAGTTTGGACAGAGCACAGTAGGCATGGCTTGTTTCTGTGCCACAATGTTTGGGAGTTCAACAGGGATCTCAGCCAGAACACACACGTGTGTCCTCTCCGTGTGGCCTGGGCTTCCTCACAACATGGCAATCTCTGGGTTATTCAACTTCCTAAACTGCGGCTCAGGGCTCCCAACTAACAAGGCGGAAACTGTATCGCCTCTCCTGGCCTAGCTGAGAAGTCATGAAAAATCACATCTGTACATCCCGTTGGTTACACGTGAGTCACAAGTCGGCCCAGATTCACAGGAAGGGGGTATTAGACATCACCTTTTGGTAGGAAAGAGGGAAAATTCTAGAACATGCATACATCTTTGGAAAGTGACACCTCCAGTCAGTCTTCCTCCCACTGAAGTGTCCTCTCCATGAAGAACCATTGTCCTATTTGATTCTTGATGCACCCCCGTGCTGGAATGGTGCCAGAGCACATAATAAGTACTAGATTCGTGTTTTAGAGTGAATATGTGAAGGATTATCTTTCCATGAGTCATCCAAGCCCAAGCTCTTCTCCCTGTATTTCCTACCCCAGCCCTTGATTTTGCGTGATTTTCTCTGGAGAAAGCCCTGTGTTTGTATTGAAGGGTGGGAGTCAAGTCTCTTATGGGTATGGGGATGTGCACATAAAAACAGTTTTTGGAGAGTAAGAAATAGGTAGCCAATGAGATTCTGGGTGAGTTTTCTACTGAAAGGGGATTTATTGAAAACCTAGTCTGCTTTTCCCTCATTCTTTATTCTGGAAATGCCCAAGTGAGGTGGTTTTGTCTTCCAGGCCATAGAGAGCAGGAAGGTGGCCCAACGAGCTTTGGGGAGGCAGGCCAGGCAGCAGGGGTGGGGTTAGAATGCCTGTTAGGAACAATGGCAGGGTCAGGGCAAGAGCTGGCCCTGAAGCTGCCCACGTGCCTGTGAAGTTTCTCAAAGTCTCCTTGCTTTGTTATTTGTGAAGGACCTTCCATTTGATCTTCCCAAAGTCCTGGAGCACATATGGTTCTCCTCCTGTCTTCCTCTTTCCCCAGAGGGGTAGCAGCATCTGCCATTCACGAAAGCCAAGAGAAGACGGCCCAGGCTTCTCCCTGCGTTACTGCCTCACATCTGTGGGCTCCGGCTTCCCAGGTGTGTCTTCCCCTTGCCCCCGCTTCATTTCCACATTGATCCGTGAGCTCCAGCATCCGACTGTACCGCAGCAACAGCCTCCTCATTTCTCTCCCCATCCCTACTGCCACCCCCAAACCGTCAGCCCTCCAATCCAGCCTTGCAGCAGCTTCTCACCACCTCCGTCACCTCAAAATCCACGCTTCTTAGGTCATTCAAGGCACTTCCTGTGCAGCTGCTGCGGTGTTCATGGCCTCCTCCAGGAGAGAAGAATTCTATCTTCTAGATCCTTTCATGTTCTTTCCAGGCTGTGCCACATCGCCCTGATTCTGCCCAGGGCCAACTTACCCATCCGGCAGAGGGGCAACGTGCCTAGGGCCCACAATACCTTTAGAAGCCCATGAAAATGTTTTAACTTATTTTAATATCCGAAGAGAAAAACAAACTTTCAGGCCGAAAATAGGTAAACAAAAGTTACCTATTGTTTGAATAGGTAACACTAACATATTTGGCTTTGTACCGCCGCAGTCGTAAAATATACTTTAAAGGTTTTTTTTTTTTTTATGGAAAAGAAGCCCATTAAGGCAAAAGTACTTAGGGCCCACAAAGGTCATAATGGGGCTCTGGTTTTGGTTATGCGGCCCCTCCCCCCAATCTGTGGCAGAGCTGCCCAGTTAGGTGCCCGGCTAACTTCCGAAGAAAACTCTAGCAGAGGCTCTGCCTGGGAGCCCTCAGGAAACGCTCGCTCTCCGGTCCCCAATCAGGAGCTCAGAGGACTGCGGTCCGCGTCCCCAGCCCCCGCCTGCGTCCCGGAAGGCGGGCTCCCGGGTGCCCTGCTGCGGGCCCAGGGGGCGGTTCTCGGGTCTCGCCGGCCGCCGCGCCGCCGCCGGCCCGGCCAGCTCCACCCGACCTAATTGGAAGAAGGAAGCTGGCCCTGAGCCGTTCTCTCCCTTCTTCCTCAAAAGCTCCGCCCACCCCCCTCCCCCCCCCACTCCCCCCCCACTCCCCCACCCCCTCCCCATCCCGCATCTCCCCTCTTAGGTTTCTTACGAAAAAGTGCTGCTGAGAATTCCCAGAAAGTCCCGGATATGAAATCACTGGCGTGAGGTCACCGAGCCTAGTTCCAAGAATCAGAAGCTTGTGGGGGAGAAAGGAAAGTGCAGAAAAAGAGGGAGCAGCGATCGGAGTCGTGGGTGCTGTCGCGGCCAGGGGCGGGGGACCGGCTGCTCCTTTGGGTCCCAGGCGTCTCCAACCAGGCCTTGGCCGGTGTGACCCCTGGAAAAGTTCCAAAGGAAACGAGTCTTCACTACCATATTAGAGAAAATGCCCATTGAACATAGAAATACCGATCCCTATTGAGCAAGATCAGAAAGTGATACTGCATGGTGCCGAGCAGATGGGGAAACAGCCGTGCTTATCCACCGTTGTCAGGGAGAGAGAACTGGCTGGTTTGGAGAACAACTTGGAAATATGATCAGAATTTTAGATGAGCACCTTTTGACCTAACAATCGCACATCTTAGAGTCTTATCCTAGTGAGAAATACAAGGATACATGCTTAGGAGAGTTTTCAGCAGCATGGTTTGACATAGGTAAGGTTAGAACCCACCTGGATGTCCATCACAGAAAACCAGTCAAAAAGCTGCTGTGGGACGCGGGTACCCTGGAATGCTATGTGCTGTGAAAAAGAATGAGGCAGCTGTTTATGAGCCAGCTCTGTGTTCGCCATTATGGTCTTTTTCAATTTTTATTTTATTCCCCGTTATGGTCTTTTTTAATTTTTCTTTTTATTTATTTATCTTTTTTTTGAGACAGGGTTTTGTTCTGTTGCCCAGGCTGGAGTGCAGTGCCTCAGTCGGGGCTCACTGCAACCTCAACCTCCCAGGCTTAAGTGATCCTCCCACCTCAGCCTCCCAAGTAACTGGGACCACAGGTGCACAACATGATGCCTGTACAGTATTTTTCTATTTTTCGTAGAGATGGGGTCTCACCATGTTGCCCAAGCAGGTGTTGAATTCCTGGGCTCAAGCAATCCACCCCCCTTGGCCTCCCAAAGTGCTGGGATTACAGGCATGAGTCACCACACCTGGTCTGGTCATTTATTAAAGGCATATATTCATTCAACAGAAATGTATCAGCCCTACAAAGTACATGGCACATTGCAGATACTGGAAATACAGCAGAGAACAAAACAGCTTATGAGGACGGAGGAAAACAAAATGCATCAAGTGTGATAAGTGCTGTGAGCGAAAGATAAGTGTGTAACTATAAGCGTGGAGTTATCTTTCATCAGGAGAGGGAAACTGGTGGGACAAGCAAGATTTTGGGGGATCGGGGTGAAGAATCAGTCTGAGCAGCCCACGTGGGTTGGGAATTCAGGAGTGATGGAAACATGAGAGCCGTTTGGAATTTGTTGCAGAGAGGGTCCCAGGGAGTGACAGCTGGCACCCTGGAATTGAGACATTTGAGGAGGGTTTAATAAAAGAAGCCTTTAGAAAAGAGTAGCAGGATGTACAGAAGCCAGGAGGGCGCTGCAGGCCCTCAGGGCTCGTCACGGTGGCGCCCCAACCATCCCTAGTTCTGAAGGAGTGAGAAGAGGAAGTTGCTGGAACTTGAGGCCAAAGACAGCTGAGTGCAGAAGAAAGGGGATAAAATCCCCAAGGAAGGGGATTTATCTTTTTATTTCACTTTTTTGTTTTTTTGAGACAGAGTCTCGCTCTGTCGCCCAGGCTGGGGTGCAGTGGCGCGATCTCCGCTCACTGCAGCCTCCACCTCCCAGGTTCAAGTGATTCTCCTACCTCAGCCTCCTGAGTAGCTGGGATTACAGGTGTGCACCACCAAACCTGGCTAATTTTTGTATTTTTAGTAGAGACAGGGTTTTGCCTTGTTGGCCAGGATGGTCTCGAACTGCTAACCTCAGGTGACCCACCTGCCTTGGCCTCCCAAAGTATTGGGAATACAGGCGTGAGCCACCACACTGGCCTGGGATTTTTCTTTTAATAGACAAGTTTGTACGTTGTCAACTGACAGAGCTGAGGCCTTTGGTGGAAGAATGCAGCCAGTCCATGGCAACCCTGCAGGGAGAACAAATATCCTGACCTCACTCTCCATCCCTCCTCCAAAGGCCGTGGGAAGCCAGAGGGCAAGGGAACCCCTGGATGCAGCACATACGGGTTAGTCTCCAACCCAGAGCTGGGGGGAGAAGGATTGCAAGTGGGTCTGGAGTGGCGCATGGAGGCTAGGGACACAGGACCCAGCAGTGAAGGTGGTCCGCAAAGCCATAAGGCTGGCGAAGGGGTCTCTTAGGGTGTGAGGCAGATGGAAAAGTGAACACAGCTCACTGTCCTGGAGCCCTCTGATATTTAGAGATTGAGAGATAAAGTAGAGCCAGGAAAGGACCCTGCAAAGGAGCAGTCAGTGAGACGGGAGAACAGAGAGCCATGCCCGAGGCCAAGGGAAGCAAATGTGTCTAGGTGGGGGGAAGGGAGGGAGGGCTGAGATGAAGACTCCAGAGAGGTCCAGTAGGATGGTGGGAGGGGGCTGAGGGTGTGTGTGTGTCAATAATGCACATAGCATATTTCTGGAATGCTACGTTAAGAGTAACAAAAATTCTTTTTTTTTTTGGCATATGAAAATTTATTACTACAGTGTTTTCATCATTAAAATTTATGATCTTGGTCTTTCCTTCTTGCCTTTGTATAGGGCCAAAAGAGAGACATTGGCTACTTTGACAACCTTAAAGCGAACTCCAGGAATATCACCAATAGCATGACCTTTGCGACCAAATCCAGCAACCAGAACTTCATCGTTTTCCTCAATAAAGTTCAAGCAACCATCATTGGGTACAAAGGCTGTGATTTTCTTGCCATTCTTGATCAGCTGGACCCTGACACACTTCCTAATGGCAGAATTTGTCTGCTTGGCTTCAACTCCTACTTTTTCTAGAACGATTCCTTTTGCATGAGAAGCACCTCCAAAAGGGTTGGCCTTCAGGGCTGTGCCCAAATGGGCTTTCTTGTACTGTTTATCATGCCACTTCTGGTCTCGTCGGTGGTTACGGAGCTTTCTAGCAGTACGAAGTCCACGACACTTGCCCATCCTGCCGGCGTCACGGGCCTGAGCGAAAGCAACACAAATTCTTAATAGTGGCTCTAGTGTAGACACCTAAAGGTAAACAGAAGAAAGGAGACCTAACGTTTCATTTTCTTCCATTTTTGATGTTTTCAATTATGTATATGTATGAATTTTATCAAAGGGAAGGAAATAGAATTTTTTTAAAAGGCTCTCCCACAGTAAGAGAGATCTGATTTTGTAGAAAAAGCAGATCCAGGCTGGGTACGGCGGCTCATGCTTGTAATCCCAGCACTTTGGGAGGCCAAGGCAGGTGGGTCACCTGAGGTCAGGAGTTCGAGACCAGCCTGACCAACATGGTGAAACCCTATCTCGTCCAAAAATACAAAAATTAGCCAGGCCTGGTGGTGAATGCCTGTAATCCCAGCTACTCAGGGGGCTGAGGCAGGAGAATCACTTGAACCCAGAAGGCAGAGGTTGCAGTGAGCTGAGATCGCACCACTGCACTCCAGCCTGGGTGACAGCAGGACTCTGTCTCAAAAAAAAAAAAAAAAAAGAAAAGAAAAGAAAGAAAAAGCAGATCCACAGTTTTTAAAAATCAATCAAAAGACAGACTTGGAAGGAAACAAATAACCCCATCAAAAAGTGGGCAAAGGACGTGAACAGACACTTTTCAAAAGAGGACAAACGTGGCCAACAAGCATATGAAAAAAAACTCAATAGCACTGATCATTAGAAAAATGCAAATCAAAACCACAGTGAGATACCAGCTCACACCAGTCAGAATGGTGATTATTAAAAGATCAAAAAATAACAGATTCTGGTGAGGTTACAGAGAAAAAGGAATGCTTAGCATTGTTGGTGGGAGTGTAAATTAGTTCAACCATTGTGGAAAGCAGTGTGCCAATTCCTCAAAGACATAAAAACAGAGGTACCATTCAATCCAGCAATCCCATTACTGGGTATATACCCAAAAGAATATAAATCATTCTATCATAAAGACATCGTATGCCTATGTTCATTGCAGCACTATTCACAATAGCAAAGACATGGAATCAACCTAAATGCCCATTAGTGGCAGATAGAAGAAAGAAAATGTGGTACATAGGCACCATGGAATACTATGCAGCCATCAAAAAGAATGAGACCATGCCCTTGGCAGGAACATGAATGGAGCTGGAGGCCATGATCCTTAGCAAACTAATGCAAGAACAGAAAACCAAATACCATATGTTTTCACGTATAAGTGGGAGCTAAATGATGAGAACACATGGATATACAGAGGAGAACAGACACTAGGGCCTACTTGAGGGTGAAGTGTGGGAGGAAGAAGAGAATCAGGAAAAATAACTAGTGGATACTAAGCTTAGTACGTGGATGACAAAATAATCTGTACAACAAACCCCTGTGACACAAGTTCACCTATGTAACAAACCTGCACATGCACCGTGACCCCAAAATAAAAGTTAAAAAAAGAAAAAAAAAGAAAGGCAGGATTGGGGGTAACCCTGGGATTTGAGAACGAGAGCTGATAGAGTCTGGGACAGGCAGGGCTGAGAAGAGAATGGCTGGAAGCATCTTCTCCCTGTGTCAGCCCAGCCGCTGGCTTTAGGGGCAGTGACCTCTGACGTCTGGTTTAAATTATGTCCTGCTGTGTGCTTCATGACCTGCCCTTCGCTCCACCCTGCCCAACCCAATACTTCAAGAAAGCTTAATTCGTCACATCCTAGTATCTTTCAAATAATTTTACATGCCATGCTTTAAGTATTTTCAGTCTTACATATCAAAAATAAATCCCCTTCTTAGATGAAATCACACAAGCTTGGATGATGTCATCTTGGAAGGGAGAATCTCTTTCTGATGAAGCTAACCCTTAGACAAGGTATTTCTTCCTTGCAGAGCACAGAATCCTTTGGATAGAAAACTTTCTTTAAAAAAAAAATATTTTTTTTTTCAGTTAACAATCTGCTCCAAATTTGTGAGAATTATTTGAGGATTGTGCTCTGATTCTTATCTCTATTGCAGGTCCCAAGGAGGATGGGGTCCTGGTTAAAGACTCCAGTGGAACCAGTCCCTCAGGAGCCTCAGGCCAACTGTAGGAGGCTTCTCATCAATAGATGGAGGGATGAGATTGGGGGAGAGAAGTGGTAAGAGGTAGCTCTGGGAAATCGCATCCTCTCCTTTCCTAGGGCTGCCTGCTCCCTTGGGCTGGGAGTCAGGGACTCCTAATCTAACAGACTTGAGACTTTTCTGACACAGGGGTTTTCTGAAAAGGGAAGGGCCAGCAGAGGAAAGGGAGCCACCAGCCCAGGCCGTCTCCCGTCTTGGAGCCCGACGGGCTGGCTAGGGTCAGTCAGAGCTCCACTTTCTTCTCCATTGCTCAAACTTCTCAGTATAGCCTGTGCCTTTGAGTCTCCCTACCTCTGTCCTGATAAAAAGAAAACTCCATGAGAGCAAGGAACTTGTCTGTATCATTTTCTGCTAATGATCAATGACTAGAATACCGTCTGGCCCTCATCCGAGTACATAAGATGAATGAATGCCCGAAGTGCCTTTTCCACAGCCCAAACTACGTTTCAAGGGAAACTCCCTCGACCAGCCTCTCCATCACCTCCTCAGAAACCTTCCAACCATCCATTTTTGGAAGCCCATACACATGGGTCCTGGGGTTGGCAGCCTCTCCTGGGTGGTGTACCAGAGCCTTGCACGTCTCTGCCCAATTTCACTTCCTGTGCCAGCAGCTTGAAACCAGCCACGGTGGAATAATTTACACCATGGAAATTGGAAAACACTACAAATCACATCTTCCCTCCTCCCCCAACCCCTGCCCCAACCCAGAGAATTGGTCGCTGATCATTTACCAGCACACCTCTGCCTCCAGTCCTGTTTCTGCCACTTAAAGCTCCATGACTCTGTCAAGTCACTTAATTGCTCCGAGCTTCAGTTCTCCATAAGGTAGATATCCCATATCTACCTATAGGATTGTTGGGAGAATTAAATGTGATTATAACCCTGCAATGTGTTTAGCACACTGGCTCGTAGTAGATACTCAACACACTTTAGTATGGTTCCAGTTATCTGTTGCTGTGCAACCAATTGACAAGTTTAGTGGCTTAATACATTTAGTTTGTTCATAAATCTATAACTTGGGTAAAACTTGGTGAGAATAGGTCTTAACTGGAAAGACATGAAGGCCAGAGGTGAGAATCTTCTGAAACTATGTTCACTCATGAATCTGGCAATTGATGCTGGCATCAGCTGGAGCCACCAGCCAGGACACCTACATGTGAGGTGTGCCAGGTAGCCCAGGCTTCCCCACAATATGGTGCCTGAGTTTCAAAGTCAAATATTCCAAGAAAAAGCTAGGTAGACGCTGTTATCGCCATTTCTAACTTAGCCTTAGAAATTACACACTATCACTTCGTTCACATTCTATTTATTAGAAGTAAATCACTAATCCTGGCCCATTTTCAAGGGGAGGGATATTAGAGTCTCATTTTAATAAGAGGAGCATGTGGCCAAGCATAGTGACTCATGCCTACAATCTCAGCACTTTGGGGGGCCAAGGTGGGTGAATCACTTGAGGTCAGGAGTTCAAGATCAGCCTGGGCAACATGGTGTCCATCTCCACTAGAAACACAAAATTAGCCACGTATGGCGATACAAGCCTATACTCCCAGCTACTTGGGAGGCTGAAGCAGGAGAATCTCTTGAACCCAGGAGGCAGAGGTTGCAGTGAGGTGAGATTGAGCCATTGCACTCCAGCCTGGGTTATAGAGCAAGACTCAATATCAAAAAAAAAAAAAAAAAAAAAAGAAAAAGAAAGAAAAGAAGAGTATGAAAGAATGTTTTTAAACCGTCACAGCCATCATTATTGTTACTGCCTTTAGTATGCTCTAGCGTGTAGTATGAGAACTATCCTACTTCTCAGCCTATGAGCTCTCTATGGGAGGGTAGGAATGCACCAGCCTCATTAAGGTTCATCCCATGGACCCTCCATCACTCTGTATGTGAGCCTAGGGCCCTGCAGGACTTATCACTGTTATATAAATGAATTTCCTATTACAAGAGCTGGCCCTGAGCATTGATGCTCCAGTTCCTTAGGACAACATCTCAGCTGGCCCCATAAGAACTGAGGTGAGGGATCTGGACAGGACACAGCGAGGACAGCAGGTGACTTCACCAGCAGGGCCATGATGCTAACAGGCCCTACTTACCTTGGGGTAGTGGGTGATTGTGAGAATAAGCTTATGGTTTAAACAAACTCCCTCCAAAGTCTCCTCTGAAGTTGGGATGGCAAGATCGTTGTCTTGGAGTCAGGTCATGGGTTCATGCTGTAACCTCTTTCTTGGCGTTAGTCTGTCAACTGGAAATAAGAAAAAGTCCATAGAGTAGGCATTTCTAACAGATTATTTAGAAAACTAGGTTAGAAACCAATTTCTTCTTTTGGAAGCGGTTGACAGGGTCACAAGCTTCTCTCATAGGAAATAGGAAAAGATGAAACACAGAGAAAAATGCCTCGTTCTGTGGGACATGAATCCATCTCAGTTTCTTTGAGATCCATAGGGCCAGGGTCTAATCCCAGAGAGAAGTGTGAGTGTGTACACAGGTGATCTCCTACTGACTATGGTTCGGCTTAGAATGTTTCTACTTCACAATGGTGTGAAAGCTGTACACATTCTGTAGACACCTTACTTCAAGTACCCATACAACTATTTTTCACTTTCAGTATTCAATAAATTACATGATATATGCAACCGTTTATTGTAAAATAGCCTTAAAAGTGTTAGATGATTTTGCCCAGCTGTAGGCTAGTGCAAATGTTCTGAACACATTTAAGGTAGCAGAGGCTAAGCTATGTTGTTTAGTAGGTTAGGTGTGTTAAATGCATTTTTGACTTATGCTATTTTCAACTTATGATGGGTTTATCAGGACTTAACTCCATCATAAGTGGAAGAGATCTCTACGTGAGATGTTTGGGTGGGGATGTCTTTAGGAAAGATCCAGGAGGGAACGGCCCAGCAAACCCTTCATTTCAATGGTGAGGGCTAGGAGCAGCAGAAGGAAAATACAAGAGCTAGGAAAGGGAGGTGAAAGGGGCTCAGGGTAGAGGGGAGGTGCGGAGTGGTCAGGCCCAGTCCTCCCCTGGCCGGAGACCTCTTCCAGCCTTGGCTTTCTTTTCTCTTAGTCCCCTCCTCCCCTAGCTTATGCCAGGAGCTCTCTGTCCTCAGTGGAATCTTCCAGGTAAGTCTAAGAAGGGCTGAGGCTTCTGTGTGTCATACCTGGTTGAGGGAGTTCAGGTCACACCCTCCAAGGAAGCCCCCAAGGGCATTAGGATGTCAGTCTAAGCTGGTTCATCACAGGGAACGCCAGGGCCACTGGGCCTGTCCCTTACCATAGAGTAACTCTAGGCACTTAAGGGCCCCGGCCCTGGGCCACAGTCCGCTCATTGATGAAATGAGCAGAGTTGTCTAGAGCAGTTTTTCCCAAAGTGTGGCTCATGAATCTCAGAGCCTGCAGGGATATTTCAAAGAAAAGCTGCCTTGAGCTCATTTCCCACAGAAGCAAACCCAGAGACAAAGATTTGAGTGTTTCACTTGGATCCCAGGAAGCACTCATGGAAAGCAAGAAAGGTGGAAGGGGAAGGGAAGGGAAGGGAACCAACGCAGGGTGTGTTGATGAGTAAATTACTGGGGTGGGCAGCCACAGCTCAATCTCCCTAGGACCTCTGGGACGCTGTCTGGAACACACCTCAGTGTCCACCCCAGCCCACTGCCAGCTAAGGCCTGCGTTCAGGGCACTTCCAGCCTGCCCTGCGCACCTGTGGAGCATGGTGCTGTGACTAGGAACATCACTCAGGCTGACAGTCCCCTGTGTTTGCAGTGAGAAACCATCAGGGCTAAGGGGACAGGATACAAGCAGGGCATGGCAGAGGTTGCTACGCAGACAAGAAATGTTGTTCACATATGTTTCACAAATGTGAAGCCAATGATAATTTCCATAGAGATCTCATCACCTTTGTAATAGTTATCATGGTCTTGTAGCACGCACCTGTGCCATCAGAACTGAACTAAGTAGTTTAGCTCAGCTCATATTTAGTAAAGAGAATACCATCAACTGCAGTCCAACTTGCTAAAACATTTTCTTTTCTTTTCTCTTTTTTTTTTGAGACAGAGTCTCACTCTTGTTGCCCCAGCTGGAGTCCAGTGGCACCATCTTGGCTCACCACAACCTGCACCTCCCAGGTTCAAGCGATTTTCCTGCCTCAGCCTCCCGAGTAGCTGAGATTACAGGCATGTGCCACCATGCCCGGCTGATTTTGTATTTTTTTTTAGTAGAGGCAGGGTTTCTCTATGTTGGTCAGGCTGGTCTCAAACTCCTGACCTCAGGTGATCCACCCACCTCAGCCTCCCAAAGTGCTGGAATTACAGGCGTGAGCTGCCGCGCCTGGCCGATAAAACATTTTCATACTGTTTTCATGGTATTATTTATATTTGTTATATTTCAATTTTATTGTTACTATGTTATTATATCATATAGTAATGGCATTATGGCCCCAAATCATAAAGATAGATCCATAGTTCAAAAAAGATTCATTTTGTTACTAGAAAATAGTAACAAAAATACTGCAATATAACGTGTGATGATATATATTAGGGCAGATGAGTGGTTGAATCAGATGATTTTATACAAGTAGGAAAAAAAGTATGAATCAGAAATACGGGTATGAGAATGAATATCCGAAAATAGTATTTGGTTAGCTGGTAATGCATTTCCTCCCGAGGCATCATCTATTGCGAAACTTGCCTGATAGTGGCATGACGCCCAGTGAGGCGTTGCATCAGGTTTGTTTGCATCAGACCCTGTAAACTAGTTAGAAAACCAATCAAGTTTTTCCTGAATACGAGTAAAATAAAGCCTAGTGTGAGAGGGATGCATGTTCTCACTAAAGACAGAGGAAAGATGGAAACCATAGAAGCATCGTTAAACCTGTCCACCTTATAGGGAAAATCAACAGAATTCACACTACGGCTCATAAATGGAGTCATAGGCTACCAGGGAATACGATGATTAGAGAAACAGCAGAGCAAGCTCTTGATGAAATTACTGGATCAAACAACACTTTTGGATGTCACAGAAAATCAATGGCACACAATGTGAAAGAGCAATTGATGTCCTGAGTGAGTTGTGGCAGACAATTGGCTTTATTGTTGAATAAAACCACTTGTGGAAAGCCTCATTCATTGTCAAGGATTCATCCCATCCCTTCCTTCTTGGTGACAAATCCCTGATTTTGATCCATGCACCAAAGTTCCCAGTCTCAAGCAATTAATTACAAACGGTCTAAATCAGGCATGGTCAACCCAATGCCCACTTTTCCAGGCTTCCTGGAAAACAAACAAACAAACACTTGTTACTATAGGACACCACGAAACCCCATTCTGATCAATGAAATATGATGGGAAGTCTGCTGAGGGTACTTCTTGAAAATTTTTGTTTTCTTAATAATTATGTATACATGCTGGTACCTCTCCCTCCTTCTTCCTAAGTTGACCACGCCTGAGGCTAGGCAGCCATCTTGCAAATATGAAGCAACCAGTGCAAGGTAAAGGCTGAGATAATTCTAGACACATCAGCAGGACCATTAATGAGCCACTGAATGTCAGTGGCTGCCTACTTCAAGACTTCCTGTTATAGTACAGAAGTCAACCCCTCCATGTTTAAAGCCACTGTAACTTGTTTTCTATCACTGATAGTTGCAAACATTTCTAATGGGTGCACCACTGGTGTGTGGCGTATGAGTCAGCTCTTCACATATTTTCAAGACACATGAGGGAAATGTGCTTGTCAACTTTTTATTCTGTTTATCACTGAATTCCTTTGCAAGATTAGATGAGTGAGCTTCTGGCTCCCAGTTGGGGTCGGCAATGGCAATCCCCAGCAGGAAATGGAGAACGAAAAGAGTGAGATCAGGGCACTTAATCCCCTGGTTTCCTGCCTGTGAGTCACCATGGGTTGGCTGCATCCTTCAACAGGGGCACTGGTCCTCCCAAGACAGCCCGCTTGATCGGTTTTCTCCCTCCTAATGACACCTTCCACCCTTTTTTCCTTCAGGCCTGTGGGTGGTAACAGCTTAGCTACTGCTTCTCCAGTTTATTGTACCATTTCTTGGCATAATTCTACATCTGCAAGTCTGTAAATAGTCCCCTTGTAAACAAGCCTTCCTAAAACCAGGCTTCCAAAAACAAGCCTTGTTTTTTTTTGTTTCGTTTTGTGTGTGTGTGTGTGTGTGTGTGTGTGTGTGTGTGTGTGTGTGTTTAAGTAAAAACAAGTTTATTAAGAAAGTAAAGGAATAAAAGTAGGGCTACTCCATAGGCAGAGCAGCATCATCCTGGTTTTGAGTGTGCCATTATCTTTTGGTATACTGACTGACCAACCAGCATCAATTAACAGATTAAAAAAAAAACTTGCAGCTGAATGTCAACCATACACCACTGTATTCACAAAGACCAGCTGTCAGGCAACAATCTGGCTCCTAATCTTGATATATATAGAAAAAAATAGCAAGAAGAGTCAATGCTTTCAATTCATGGCCTCTCCTATTATGTCTTCTCAGAATACTGTGTAGAGAAATGGACAGTAAGTCAAAGACACTGTTCAACAAAGTACGCTGGCTCCTGAAGGAAGGATATTCACATGAGGTTTTGAAAGAAAAGATGCCATACAGCATCCCTTTGTGCTACTGATAGCTCTTTGATGTAGGTGGCTAGTTCAAGCCAGTGGCACATTCAGTGTCTTGATTACCCTGAACTTTTGGCTTCTGGGTGAGGCTATCACCCTCTTTCATGTTGAGAAAAAGACAGATTTTGAAGACAGAACTGTGGTGCCAAAGCTTAGCCTTTGAGAATATAACTCTTCCTACATCCAAATGTTTTCTTCTCTTGGCAGAGAAATAAATCGATATAAAAGCAACCACTAGAAATATTAAAAACAGACTTATAAGCCTTCAAATCATCAGACAAAAATATAAACATATGTGTTCGCACACATGCATACCAACGAAGACAAAAAATACTCATAGTAAAACATAGAAAAACAAGCAGCATTAAAATAGAAAACAGAAGAAAGAAGACACAATTAAGGCGAATATGTCAGTTACATCGGCACATGTAAATGGGATAAAACAGCTCATGATAGAAAAATGATTCTCACTTGGAATGATAAAAATGTCTTAAAAAGTGTATGATGTGTGCAAGAGATGCATCTTTGCTAAAATAACTCAGAAACGTTAAAAATAGAATACAAACCAAGGTATACCAGAAATACTAAGCTGAAGCTACAGTGTTACCTAATCAGCCAAAGTCAAATTAAAAATAAAAATGTGAAACAAGACAAAAAAAAATTAAACAGGAGCGAGAGCGGTATCCACATTCAGGATCTAGTTTAGGCAGGGCGAGCCAGCTCATACCTGTAATCCTAGCAGTTTGGGGTCACTTGTATCCAGGAGTTCGAGACCAGCTTGGGCAACATAGGGAAACTCCCTGTCTAAAAAATTCAAAATGTGTGGGGCATGGTTGAATATGCCTGTAGTTCCAGCTATGCAGGAGCTGAGGTGGGAGGATCACTTGAGCCAGGGAGGTCAAGGCTGTAGTGAGCCATGATTATGCCACTACATTCCAGCCTGGTGACAGAGTGAGACCCTGTCTCAAAAAATAATAACAATGAAATAAATAAATAAAACCACTGTAAGTTACCACCTTACCCTAGCCAGAATGGCCATTATTAAAAGGCCAAAAAAAAATAGATGTTGGTGTGGATGTGGTGAGATGGGAATGCTTACACACTGCTGGTGGGAATGTAAGCTAGTACAACCTCCATGGAAAACAGGATGGAGATTTCTTTTTTTTTTTTTTTTTTGAGACAGAGTCTCGCTCTATCGCCAGGCTGGAGTGCAGTGGCGCGATCCCGGCTCACTGCAATTTCTGTTTTCCGATTTCAAGCAATTCTCCTGCCTCAGCCTCCCGAGTAGCTGGGACGACAGGCACGCGACACCACGCCTGGCTAATTTTTTGTACTTTTTAGTAGAGACGGGGTTTCACCATGTT